GTGAAAGATTCCGTGAGAATTTAAGAAGTCATTAACGTCACTAGGGAACATATTGCTTAGTGAGAGTACTGCTGTGTTATGGGAACCAGTGTTGAGAGTAACGTAATATGTGGGTGCAGTTACCTGTCCGTGCGACAGCTAGTTGATCACCTCCTGCTAATTTGTGTAATTAGCCTCAGTTTCGAGTGAGTTCACTCAGTTCCGAGTGAGTTCACACAGTGGTGAACGTAACTTGCTATAGATTAATTAACCGTCAGTGGACAATAAATTAGTGGCTCATAGTTAATTAGGATAATGAGTTATGAAGGGTTGCCCGCTTATGCAGGGTGTAGAGTACATAGTGAATTAGAGTAATTCACTCTCGTTATGTAGTTTTTTCATAAGACTGGAGAGACACCTGTCGATTGGGTGACAGGAGTGTCGATCATAACTCGTCTGAATTAATAGGCTGTCGGCGTGGCAGTAATTAATTGGGAATTACTCACAGAATGGTTGACGGGTCAAGTGTGGTGTAATTAAGGGCTTTCGAGTTATTGTTGTCAGTTGAGTGTCGGTGAGAAACGATTGTGTTAACACAATTTAATTGTTGCTGAATGCTGTTGACAATTAACGTAGTTGTTATTGAATTCGATTAGTGTACTTTTACTAGTGTTGTTTGTGTCTTGAGAGACAAATGTTAACGTAAACTTGATAGGGGATTATCAATGTTGGATTACCCACCTGGTTACTGTAGTTATCTCGCAGGGAGGGTTGCGAGTGTCAGAGTAAATTGTGATTATAGTATTTATCTCACAGGGAAGGTTGTGAGAAATATTGGCTGCAAGCTTCTGTCATCAGTGGGCACAACTCTGTTCACTTAGTGTCATTATTCAGCCCGTAATTACGGATAGGATTCCGTGGTTCTACTAGGAGGCAGGGATGCCAGATTAGGCTACTTGTAGCCTAATTGGGTTACCAATTAGGATAATTATATTCAATTAGAAAGCCAGCTATGTATGTCGCAACTTAATGCTTTTTCGGCGACAGTTAAAATAAGCTGGGCTGTTTATTCTGAAATGCGAATCAATCGGAAAAAAAAATATTTGGCTACTTTTATTGTAAAGTTTGTGACATTTAGTTCTTCAGCTCGCGACAATTAGCTGTATCTATCGTGCCACTGGAAGACAGTAAAGTTACGTAAACTTCTTGTTGTAGTAGTGCTAGTCTTTTGTTGAATAAACTGTTATTGTTCATAAGAAACGGTCTGTACGTTCAACCCCAAGATAATATTGTCCCACTTATCAATGTCCTGCAACTTCTTTCTTCCTTACAATTCTTTATGTAAATCTGCTCTTGAGTTTTGAATCCAATTCATAGCGCCAAACTTCAAGTAATACGAAGTGAGAACCCGTCGGTTACCCTTAATGGTGTTTTATCACTAGGAGGAGCCAGCGATCCAAGTGGATGGGATTTCACCCTAAGTGGAATTCATGCGGTTTGCTCCCGCCTTCTTATGGGCTCATGCTTAAAGTCAAATCTGCATCTAAGCAGTCCTTTCTGTTTGATGTCTGCCTCCCAAGCGAGCTAGTTACATTAACGTGACATCAGAAGGATAAACATCTCACAACCAGGGCTGTTTCCCCCAGGGCTGCTTTCCCCAGGGCTGCTTCCCCCAGGACTGCTTTCCCCAGGGTTGCTTCCCGCAAGGCTGTTTCCCCCAGGGCTGTTTCCCCAAGGACTGCTTCCCCCAGGGCTGCTTCCCCTAGGGCTGTTTCCCCCAGGACTGCTTCCCCTAGGGCTGTTTCCCCCAGGACTGCTTCCCCTAGGGCTGTTTCCCCCAGGACTGCTTCCCCCAGGACTGCTTCTCCCAGGACTGCTTCCCCCCAGGGTTGTTTCCCCCAGGACTGCTTCCCCCAGGGTTGTTTCCCCCAGGACTGCTTCCCCCAGGACTGCTTCTCCAAAGACTGCTTCCCCCAGGGTTGTTTCCCCCAGGACTGCTTCCCCCAGGACTGCTTCCCCCAGGACTGCTTCCCCCCAGGGTTGTTTCCCCCAGGACTGCTTCTCCCAGGACTGCTTCCCCCCAGGGTTGTTTCCCCCAGGACTGCTTCCCCCAGGACTGCTTCTCCCAGGACTGCTTCCCCCCAGGGTTGTTTCCCCCAGGACTGCTTCCCCCAGGACTGCTTCTCCCAGGACTGCTTCCCCCAGAGCTGCTTCCCCAAGGGCTGCTCTCCTGCTGAGACACGTTGACCAGGGCTGCTTCCCCCAGGGCTGCTTCCCCCAGAGCTGCTTCCCGCAGGGCTGCTCTGCTGCCGAGACACGTTGACCAGGGCTGCTTCCCCCAGGGCTGCTTCCCCCAGGACTGCTTCCCCCAGGGCTGCTTCCCCCAGGACTGCTTCCCAAAGGTGGCCAAGATTATTAATAATGGGAAGGAGTTGTATTCAATTAATTTAATAACTGATAATTCATTTTTATTTAGGGAAGTACTTTTTTATAACAATCTGTCCTCAGACTGTCTGCTTTTGAGTTATATTAAATAATAATATTTAGGGTGAGATTAATCTCGGTGACGTGCCAATATAATTTTAACATTACTCGTATTCTAGAGCAAATTTATCTCGTGCTTTTTCCATTTAGGACTCACTAATGTAATTAAATTTGTGTCAATTAATACAGCAACAGCAGGATTTTATCACTGCATGTTGTATTATGGAATTTATGGGTGATGTGGGAAGTTTTCCCAAACACGCAACACCTTACGACCACCAATCAGACACCCACTAATCATACACCCACCAATCATACATCCACCAATCATACACCCACCAATCATACACCCACCAAACATACACCCACCAAACATACACCCACCAATCATACACCCACCAATCATACACCCACCAATCATACACCCACAAATCATACACCCACTAAACATACACCCACCAATCATACGTCCACCAATCATACACCCACCAATCATATTCCAACTAATCATACACCCACCAATCATACACCCACCAATCATACTCCAACTAATCATACACCCACCAATCATACACCCACTAATCATACACCCACCAATCATACACCCACCAAACATACACCCACCAAACATACACCCACTAATCATACACCCACCAATCATACTCCCACCAATCATACACCCACCAATCATGCACCCACCAATCATACACCCACCAATCATACATCCACTAATCATACACCCACCAATCATACACCCACTAATCATACACCCACCAATCATACATCCACCAATCATACACCCACCAATAATACACCCACCAATCATACACCCACCAATCATACATCCACCAATCATACACCCACCAATCATACACCCACCAATCATACACCCACCAATCATACATCCACCAAACATACACCCACCAATCATACAACCACTAATCATACAACCACCAATCATACATCCACCAATCATACACCCACCAATCATACACCCACCAATCATACTCCAACTAATCATACACCCACCAATCATACACCCACCAATCATACACCCACCAATCATACATCCACTAATCATACACCCACCAATCATACACCCACTAATCATACACCCACCAATCATACATCCACCAATCATACACCCACCAATCATACACCCACCAATCATACATCCACCAATCATACACCCACCAATCATACACCCACCAATCATACATCCACCAAACATACATCCACTAATCATACACCCACCAATCATACACCCACTAATCATACACCCACCAATCATACATCCACCAATCATACACCCACCAATCATACACCCACCAATCATACACCCACCAAACATATACCCACCAATCATACACCCACTAATCATACACCCACCAATCATACACCCACAAATCATACACCCACTAAACATACACCCACCAATCATACGTCCACCAATCATACACCCACCAATCATACTCCAACTAATCATACACCCACCAATCATACACCCACCAATCATACTCCAACTAATCATACACCCACCAATCATACACCCACCAATCATACACCCACCAATCATACATCCACTAATCATAAACCCACCAACCATACACCCACTAATCATACACCCACCAATCATACATCCACCAATCATACACCCACCAATCATACACCCACCAATCACACACCCACCAATCATACACCCACCAATCATACACCCACCAATCATACACCCACCAATCATACACCCACCAACCATACATCCACCAATCATACATCCACCAATCATACACCCACCAATCATACACCCACCAATCATACATCCACCAATCATACACACACCAATCATACACCCACCAATCATACACCCACCAATCATACATCCACCAATCATACACCCACCAATCATACATGCACCAATCATACACCGACCAATTATACACCCACCAATCATACACCCACCAATCATACAACCACCAATCATACACCCACCAATCATACATCCACCAATCATACACCCACCAATCATACATCCACCAATCATACACCCACCAATCATACATCCACTAATCATACACCCACCAATCATGCACCCACCAATCATACACCCACCAATCATACATCCACCAATCATACATCCATCAATCATACACCCACCAATCATACATCCACCAATCATACACCCCACCAATCATACATCCACTAATCATACACCCACCAATCATGTATCCACCAATCATACACCCACCAATCATACACCCACCAATCATATATCCACCAATCATACATCCACCAATCATACACCAACCATACCTTCAATAAAGAACTGTCTGGAATCTGAATACACATTAGTCTTTTATTTTTTTCCGTTGGTCTTCACTTTGCTACACTTCGCTACCTAATACTGAAAGTTTCGAGCTCTCTCATGGCTTGGGTGTTCCCATATGACCCAAACAATATTCGGGGAAAGTTCACTAGATGCTAGTGCGTACAGTGTGCCGGGGTCTTCAGCTAATTACACAATGTTGCTTGACCTGCAGGTGAAGGTGGAGCTTGAGGAAAGTGGTGAGTACGTGATCCTGGAGGAGCCAGGGAGCCAGCAGCCTGTAGGCCAACACAGCTTCTGCATCCCTCCACAAGATAAGGTTGTCCATACTGTAAAGATTCGTCCTCTGGCACTTGGGCAAGTTAACCTCACCGTTGCGGCTTATGTTGACGAGGTGTTCCCGGAGGAGTGTGGCCCCGAGTACGTCATCAGTAAGAGGTCAGCGCTCTCCTACACTCCAGCGTTTTTAATTGATAACAAACAGTGGTTTAAAGTCACATACTCATTTATGTATTTGTACTTAAACAATTCCTTGTGTGGATATCAGATTGGATGTTTGTCCTTCCTGCTTTATCTTGTAATGGATTACAGTGATTGAGTTCACAGTTTCCATTCGTGTCCCCTCGTTCCCAGGCCCGTCGTGTGCCCTCGTCCCCAGACCCGTCGTGTCCCCTCGTTCCCAGGCCCGTCGTGTCCCCTCGTTCCCAGGCCCGTCGTGTGCCCTCGTCGCCAGACCCGTCGTGTCCCTCGTTCCCAGGCCCGTCGTGTCCCCTCGTTCCCAGGCCCGTCGTGTGCCCTCGTCGCCAGAACCCGTCGTGTCCCCTCGTTCCCAGGCCCGTCGTGTCCCCTCGTTCCCAGGCCCGTCGTGTGCCCTCGTCGCCAGACCCGTCGTGTCCCCTCGTTCCCAGGCCCGTCGTGTCCCCTCGTCCCTCAGGCTCGTCGTGTCCCCTCGTCCCTAGCCCGTCGTGTCCCCTCGTCCCTCAAGCTCGTCGTGTCCCCTCGTCCCTAGCCCGTCGTGTGCCCTCGTCCCTCAGGCCCGTCGTGTCCCCTCGTCCCTCAGGCCCGTCATGTCCCCTCGTCCCCAGACCCTTCGTGTCCCCTCGTCCCTCAGGCCCGTCATGTCCCCTCGTCCCTCAGGCCCGTCGTGTCCCCTCGTCCCTCAGGCCCGTCATGTCCCCTCGTCCCTCAGGCCCGTCGTGTCCCCTCGTCCCTCAGGCCCGTCGTGTGCCCTCGTCCCCAGACCCGTCGTGTCCCCTCGTCCCTAGCCCGTCGTGTCCACTCGTCCCTCAGGCTCGTCGTGTCCCCTCGTCCCCCAGGCCCGTCGTGTCCCCTCGTCCCTCAGGCCCGTCGTGTCCCCTCATCCCTCAGGCCCGTCGTGTGCCCTCGTCCCTCAGGCCCGTCATGTCCCCTCGTCCCTCAGGCCCGTCGTGTCCCCTCGTCCCTCAGGCCCGTCATGTCCCCTCGTTCCTCAGGCCCGTCGTATCCCCTCGTCCCTCAGGCCCGTCGTGTGCCCTCGTCCTTTGACCCGTCGTGTCCCCTCGTCCCTAGCCCGTCGTGTCCACTCGTCCCTCAGGCTCGTCGAGTCCCCTCATACCTCAGGCCCGTCGTGTCCCCTCGTCCCCCAGGCCCGTCGTGTCCCCTCATCCCTCAGGCCCGTCATGTCCCCTCGTCCCTCAGGCCCGTCGTGTCCCCTCGTCCCTCAGGCCCGTCGTGTCCCCTCGTCCCTCAGGCCCGTCGTGTCCCCTCGTCCCTCAGGCCCGTCGTGTCCCCTCGTCCCAGACCCGTCGTGTCCCCTCGTCCCTAGCCCGTCGTGTCCCCTCGTCCCTCAGGCCCGTCGTGTCCCCTCGTCCCTCAAGCTCGTCGTGTCCCCTCGTCCCTAGCCCGTCGTGTGCCCTCGTCCCTCAGGCCCGTCATGTCCCCTCGTCCCTCAGACCCGTCGTGTCCCCTCGTCCCTCAGGCCCGTCGTGTGCCCTCGTCCCTCAGGCCCGTCATGTCCCCTCGTCCCTCAGGCCCGTCGTGTCCCCTCGTCCCTCAGGCCCGTCATGTCCCCTCGTTCCTCAGGCCCGTCGTGTCCCCTCGTCCCTCAGGCCCGTCGTGTGCCCTCGTCCTTAGACCCGTCGTGTCCCCTCGTCCCTAGCCCGTCGTGTCCACTCGTCCCTCAGGCTCGTCGAGTCCCCTCATCCCTCAGGCCCGTCGTGTCCCCTCGTCCCCCAGGCCCGTCGTGTCCCCTCATCCCTCAGGCCCGTCATGTCCCCTCGTCCCTCAGGCCCGTCGTGTCCCCTCGTCCTTCAGGCCCGTCGTGTCCCCTCGTCCCTCAGGCCCGTCGTGCCCCCTCGTCCCCAGGTAAGTCGTGTCCCCTCGTCCCTCAGGCACGCCGTGTCCCCTCGTCCCCAGGTAAGTCGTGTCCCCTCATCCCTCAGGCCCGTCGTGTCACCTCGTCCCCCAGGCCCATCTTGTCCCCTCATCCCTCAGGCCCGTCGTGTCCCCTCGTCCCTCAGGCCCGTCATGTCCCCTCGTCCCTCAGGCCCGTCGTGTCCCCTCGTCCCTCAGGCCCGTCGTGTCCCCTCGTCCCCAGGTAAGTCGTGTCCCCTCGTCCCTCAGGCCCGTCGTGTCCCCTCGTCCCCAGGTCCGTCGTGTCCCCTCGTCCCTCAGGCCCGTCGTGTCCCCTCGTCCCCAGGTAAGTCGTGTTCCCTCGTCCCTCAGGCCCGTCATGTCCCCTCGTCCCTCAGGCCCGTCGTGTCCCCTCGTCCCCAGGCCCCTCGTGTCCCCTTGTCCCTCAGGCCCGTCGTGTCCCTCAGGCCCTTCGTGTCCCCTTGTCCCCAGGCCCGTCGTGTCCCCTCGTCCCCAGGCCCGTCGTGTCCCCTCGTCGCCCAGGCCCGTCGTGTCACCTCGTCCCCTAGGCCCGTCGTTTCCCCTCGTCTCCCAGGCCCGTCGTGTCCCCTCGTCCCCCAGGCCCGTCGTGTCACCTCGTCCTCAGGCCCGTCGTGTCACCTCGTCCCCCAGGCCCGTCGTGTCCCCTCGTCCCCAGGCCCGTCGTGTCACCTCGTCCCCTAGGCCCGTCGTGTCCCCTCGTCCCCCAGGCCCGTCGTGTCACCTCGTCCCCCAGGCCCGTCGTGTCCCCTCGTCCCCCAGGCCCGTCGTGTCCCCTCGTCCCCCAGGCCCGTCGTGTCACCTCGTCCCCTAGGCCCGTCGTGTCCCCTCGTCCCCCAGGCCCGTCGTGTCCCCTCGTCTCCCCAGGCCCGTCGTGTCCCCTCGTCCCCAGGCCCGTCGTGTCCCCTCGTCCCCTAGGCCCGTCGTGTCCCCTCGTCCCCAGGCCCGTCGTGTCCCCTCGTCCCCTAGGCCCGTCGTGTCCCCTCGTCCCCAGGCCCGTCGTGTCCCCTCGTCCCCCAGGCCCGTCGTGTCACCTCGTCCCCAGGCCCGTCGTGTCCCCTCGTCCCCCAGGCCCGTCGTGTCACCTCGTCCCCAGGCCCGTCGTGTCCCCTCGTCCCCCAGGCCCGTCGTGTCACCTCGTCCCCAGGCCCGTCGTGTCCCCTCGTCCCCCAGGCCCGTCGTGTCACCTCGTCCCCAGGCCCGTCGTGTCCCCTCGTCCCCCAGGCCCGTCGTGTCACCTCGTCCCCAGGCCCGTCGTGTCCCCTCGTCCCCCAGGCCCGTCGTGTCCCTCGTCCCCAGGCCCGTCGTGTCCCCTCGTCCCCAGGCCCGTCGTGTCCCCTCGTCCCCCAGGCCCGTCGTGTCACCTCGTCCCCAGGCCCGTCGTGTCACCTCGTCCCCAGGCCCGTCGTGTCCCCTCGTCCCCCAGGCCCGTCGTGTCACCTCGTCCCCAGGCCCGTCGTGTCCCCAGGCCCGTCGTGTATCCTCATCAACACGTCAGTCCTGTCATTTCTTCCTGGTTAATTAACTCAGAACCGTCATCATGACGGTTCTGTCCAATTTGTGTTTCTTTTTCACTGATCGCATCCCCTTCCTGTCACCTCGTCCTGGTCCCATTACCTTCCTGTCACCTCGTCCTGGTCCCATCATGACGGTTCTGTCCAACCTTCTGTCACCTTGTCCTGTTTCACCTCGTTTTCACTGATCGCATCCCCTTCCTGTCACCTCGTCCTGGTCCCATTACCTTCCTGTCACCTCGTCCTGGTCCCATCACCTTCCTGTCACCTCGTCCTGGTCCCATCACCTTCCTGTCACCTCCTCCTGTTCCTTTGGCTGTAGTGTCTTTCGTTACCGTTTGGAATTTAGTTTGGTCACAGAGTATGAGGTTCATTTTCGCCAGATATTCGTCTTTTTTTAGAATGACGTATATTGGCGACTTGTCACCTCTCCTGACGACTATCTCCTTGTTCTCGCGAAGGCTCTTACTTGCCGCTTTGAGCTCAGGGGACAGTATGGTGCTTCTGTAGTTGCCCCGAATCTTTCCTCCTTCTGCAAGGAGTTCTGCTTGCAAGGTGTCTTTAGTGGTACTCTCTGACCAAACTAAATTCCAAAGGGTAACGAAGGACACTACAGCCGAATTGAAAACGACGGTAAACAGATTGGTCGAAACTGTGAACGCCAAAAAATCCGGACTCCACCTGCCAAAGGTTATTAGGAAATACAAACCTGTGGTATGCGTATGGAAATGTCAAGACAACAAGCCTGGAAAACCACTTTGGCTAATCATCAGCCAGATACCCACACCCATATACAAACTGCCTAAGCGACTCAACTGCTTGCTAACTCCTTATGTACCTTGTGAAGTCTCCAAAGGAATTTAATGACTTACTGCAGGAAACACGGGCCACAGTGATAAGAGCCTCGTTGGATGTAGAATCACTGTTACGTACCTGACTACCTTGACCTACCTTGAGGTGCTTCCGGGGCTTAGCGTCCCCGCGGCCCTGTCGTCGACCAGGCCTCCTGGTTGCTGGACTGATCAACCAGGCTGTTAGACGCGGCTGCTCGCAGCCTGACGTATGAGTCACAGCCTGGTTGATCAGGTATCCTTTGGAGGTGCTTATCCAGTTCTCTCTTGAACACTGTGAGGGGTTTGCCAGTTATGCCCCTTATGTGTAGTGGAAGCGTGTTGAACAGTCTCGGGCCTCTGATGTTGATAGAGTTCTCTCTCAGAGTACCTGTTGCACCTCTGCTTTTCAACGGGGGTATTCTGCACATCCTGCCATGTCTTCTGGTCTCATGTGGTGTTATTTCTGTGTGCAGGTTTGGGACCAGCCCCTCAATTATTTTCCACGTGTAAATTATTATGTATCTCTCCCGCCTGCGCTCAAGGGAGTACAGATTTAGGCTCTTTAGTCGGTCCCAGTAATTTAGATGTTTTACTGAGTGGATTCTAGCAGTAAAGGATCTCTGCACGCTCTCTAGGTCAGCAATTTCTCCAGCTTTGAAAGGGGCTGTCATTGTGCAGCAGTACTCCACTCTAGATAGCACAAGCGTTTGAAAAGTATCAT